GGGGGGGGGGGGTTGGATGATTTATAAACAGCCTAAAAATGCAAAATAAATTGAGAACTTAAACAATAATGAAAACGAGACTAGTAATGAGCATCAATCAACTAATCATTTGGATTACATATCATCGACTCGTTCAAATAAATACTTTCTCGATAGAATTCAGTTTGGCGTGAACATTAGACACGCGTCAATGCCCCATTTGTTACAAAAGCACGATTAGTGTAAAACGCTTTAACAACTAATCTCTAATTAGCTATTCTAGTCTAGTCAAGGACTTAGAGTTTAATTGCTAATTGCATTAAGATCAACAAATACCAAACCTAACCAACAATCGGACGCCGATTATTTGGGTTAGATTGTACAACCTTACGACACTTGCAACTAACACACACGCATCAATTGGGTATCGCTTGCTACTCCAAGAAACCTAAGAACAATTACGTATTCAAAAATTCCTCTAGCATAACGAGTTCAAATCAGAAAAAGCAAGGGATCCAACTCACAAATTCCAACTTAAAATGTAYAGGACTGAAATTCAAAGACTGTACAAATGCATTCAATCAATTATGAAACAAAACTGAGTCTCAACTCATCCAAATTTCAAGTCGATTATAAACCCATTACTAGAAATAAAAATTAGCTACTCATGTCTGGAACTAAGAAACTTACAAAATGATTGAATTTAAGAGTTGGTGAAGAAACCTGGAATTTGTCTTCAAAATCTGGAAATAAGCTTACTGTTTCTTCACCGAATCCAGTCCTGACCAATCCTTTTGAAAATCTTGATTAGTCCTCTAATTCTCCCTCTCACCCGACTGCTGTTTTCTACCTGGCAGACAATCGAACAGCCCTTCGATAACCTGCTGTGTCGCTCGATGACCTGCTGCCTCGCCTCTCGTTCCTCTCGATTTCCCCCATGATTTTTCTCTTCTTGCCTCGCCTATATACAGCCCCTTTCGAACAGCCCTTCTTTTCTCTCAATCGACAGCCGCTGTACGCTATCCCTCTCTCGGTTGCTTCTGTACCGACAGCCCCTTGCGACCACTCGTACTCGCCCATGATCTCCTGCTCTCGCTGCCCACGATCTCCTGTTGCACGACCTCTCTCTCGCTGCCCACGTCTCTTGCTCTGTTTCTGATTTGGGCAGCAGCCTCGGGCTGCTGTTATGGGTTGTTTCTCTTCTTCCTTGATGGCTTGGGCTGCTGGCTTGGGTAAGAAAACTTGGGCTGCTGTTATGGGCCAAAAAACCACATAAGTAACACATTTTTTTCTCAACTTTAGTGGCCTCATATAGTTAAATATCATCTTAAATAAAAAGGACATTTTTAGGCGTCTAATTCACATTAACCGTGAGGTACTTTGACGTAAAAATATATATATATATATATATATATATTTGTGTTTATCAATTTACTACTCTGCTCAAGGGAAAACATACAAAACTCATCGAAAACAACACATTGCATGCGTGAACCTTACGCAATACGTTTGACGGTGATAAAATCAAGAAAACAATTTATGTAATTTATTAAATTATAATAGAATAATTATTTTTTGTAACAAAATATATCATTTGAAGTTTCGTCAAAACAATTAAAATGACATCAAATAAAAAGTTTATGTGGTTTTCTATTTTTATTTTGGGAAAAGTATAATAAAAACCAATGGACTTTCTTGTTTGGAATGATTAAGTCCTTGGACTTTTTTTTGGAACAAATAAGTCATTGGATATTCCAAAACATGTTAAATAAGTC